AACCTCGTCAGGAACCTACGGGTGACGTCACGGACACTACGTCCATGTTTTTATACAGTCTATGGGTAAAACGCAGCACTCGTCACTCACTTTTTACCCAGCCGTCCAATCAGTGTGGAGGAGGGGTGGGAAAATTCTACACAGAGCAGCCATCCTACTTGTACAATGACCGAACAACAATGGATATTACTGGTTACTGCATTTTTATATTCAGTAATATTTTTCAAATTAGATACTAGTAATACGTTACTGCTGAGGATATTCCAAATCATAGCAACAACAGTGTCTCAAAAACTGTGCCACCAAAGCGTTTTCAAGCGCCACCAGCTGGTCGTTTTCAGAAGAGCGCCTGACATTTCTTCAGCTGGCTAAAAACTCTTTGGTCGACACACATTAATTGAATATCTACTGTTAGGTATATGGCCTATTAGTCTTTTTTGCATTTATGAAATATACTGGAGCCAAACCTGAGAAGGGAGTGCAGAATATTCCACTGAGTTCCTGGACACATAACTTACACAGTGGGAATTATGTTAATTGTGAATGAGCGTTCACGAGAGCCCTATTTATGAACCATTGGAATTCATTAACATACATGTTTAATGATCAAATCTGCTGTTTACGAAGCGTTTGTGAATCCGGAGGAGAGTTTTCAGGAAGGTCTGTTTTATGGGCAAATTACTTCGAATTTACTCATATATTTACACAAGTTTCACAAACGAGGCCCACTATATGCACATACCTGTAGACTGAACACGTAACACATATGCGCATGATGACACCGTTTTCACAAATTCACATTTTTGTATGATGATGGCATCATTTTCTTGCACTTTGAAACCCATTCTCAAAAGATTGTTTTACATGCTGTTGTCATGTAAATGAAAGGCCAAAACCCATCAAAAGTTTTCTGTTTTTAGTTAAAACAGTGTCATGTAAATGCCCCCAAAGATATAAGCTCCAAAGAATCCAATTGAAATGTTTGACCCAAACTATAGGTCATTTATGGTCACCAAACCTTAACAGATGATGATATTATCTCCCCCTTTCAGCAGTTCACCATCGGACAGAAGAGCTTTCGTCAACAGCGGAGCATCTTTAATGTCTCGTGCGATGCCACAGAGTCAGTCGTCACACACCAGGAGACCTCCGCCAGAATACAGCGGCACTTCCCAACACTTCGACAAAAACGCCTACGTATAACACACTGTTTCTTCAGCCATCCATGCCTCCCTCTGATGTCTAATATCTCACTGGTATCTTTTGTTAGCTTATTAAGTGCCTTTGGATGGCCAGCTCAGATGACTTGTACAGATGCTGTAATTGAAGTTTTGGTCAGGATTATTATTTGCATTTTTTAAGACTCTGGCATATGTAATGTGATTTCAGCACTACATTTATGTTTACGCAGCGCTGCATGAGATCATGTCATCTGTTGATAGTTGTGTTGTACTCGACCAGTTTGGGTGACTCATGGTGGTTGATCATGATTTTGAGCCAGATTGAATTATGTTTCTGGAAACTGTCAAAATGAAATACTTCGATACAGATTTGAGTTTCAATATTGTCTGAATTTCTAACATTGAAGATTGTGTAGCCTGTATTGCCAAGTCTCAGTCATTATTGTGATTAAGAAAAATATATTTTTGTTGATGTTTAATAAATATTCCATATAATGTTACTATAATTGTTGCAATATATTTTTGGTACATGCAACAGAGTGCACGATATCTGCTGAATTCTAAAAGCACTGCATCTATTTTCTCCACCAGACACACACTTCATAATATTTATAGTGAACCAGAGTCACGATGTGTGTACAAACACAACATAGCCCTCCCTAAACTCGAGCAGGTGTTTGTCAGACTGCATCCTCTGCTGAAGCATGAACCATGTTTGAGTGAGAATGACCGTATGCTCAGCTCACAGGAACATGAGGAAACGTCTGATTCAGGTGTTTGGATTCTTGATTTCTACTTTTGGCTGGCTGTTTGTGAGCTGCACGCTCGCCATGGACTACTGGCGAGTCTTCTATGTAGGCGGCAAAGGCGGCAACTGGATGATCAAGGCGACGTGGTACTGGTCAAACCTGTGGAAGTACTGTGTGATGGACACCTCGTCCATCACTAACTGCAGAGACTACGATGTGCTGTGGGCCATCACGCGTAAGTGCTCTCGCATCTCCAGCCTTCATCACATTGTCACAGAGTTGGTTCAGTGTGGGACAGATTTGAGCTCTTGTTCCTGTTGAATAGCGTATGTTCAGGGAGTCCGAGGCCTGCTTCTGATCGCCATGAGTCTGGGGCTTGTCGCTGCTGTGCTCTGCTTTATCGGGATGGACTGCACCTACATTGGTGGAAGTGAGAAAAACAAAGACAGAATATTATTTTTCGGAGCAGCTTTTCATTGTGTTGGTGGTGAGCAAAACCATTTATCCAATATTTGTACATTTATATAACCACACACATCTGACCTATATATACATACAGATTGAATACAAGAAAAGTAGGCACTAAAGCTTTAAATTCTTCCATTACATGGATGATTAAAACCAGCATTGTTCCTCCTATGCTAGTGTGGAATGACACTACTCATTTAAACACAAAGTATCAGAACATTTCACCAGTGTTCACCCCCACATATATTAACATAAAAATCTTTTGTTTTTTTGTCCTCACAGGTGTGTCGGCGCTCGCGGCGTATTGTTTATACACAAACAGGGTCGTCAGCGCTGCCTTTTCACCCACTGTTGACAGAAGTATTATAAGGTACATGCCTAGAACATTCATTATCCAAACACAGATGTTTCCAATGAAGCAGTATCACACTCACGGCGGTGATGATAATAATGATAATTAAGTAAGATAACTATTGTGGAAAAAGAAGTGCATTTAATTGCATTGAATGTGCATTTGATCACCTTCAAATGAATAAAAATGTAACATTAAAAGTTTTACTTTGAAGTACAACAAAATATTATTACAACATTTTTAAAATGAAAATGTAAAATGTATTTAAAAAAACACACTTATGTTGATGTGTTGACTAACGTGCGAAAGCACATGTAAAATACTTGATTATTATTTTGACTGTAGTGTGATATTCAATAATATATTTAAAGTGCTAAACTGCAACTTCACACTACAAATGTGTAATTACAAATATATTTAAATATATGACACAAGTTTCAGTGGAAATGACATTAAAATATATTTTACTTTATCATAAATTTTTTGTCAGTATATTCTACGGTACAATAGAAGTAATTATGAAATTACACAAAGTCGTACTTTAAGTCTTACTTAAGTGGGTCTAAAAGCACTCTAAAGTACAGCTAACTGCATTTAATATAAATTGAAATTATAATTCATTGTCAGTTAATTGCAAATAGCGTGCAATTAAGTGTTCAATAAGTGTACATTCAGTTCATATGTAAATATATTCTTATGTACGCATATATTCTATTCAGTTCGTATGTAAGTATATATTATATCTGTAAAAGGTACTCTTTTTAAAAGTGTACTTTTAAGTTTTGTATTAAGTTTTGTGTCAGCATTAAGCACACCAAAAGACAGTCTGAAACGGAGTATGTGAGTGCTAAAATTACGAAAAAAAAAAAAAAAAACTTTCAAAAGTAGAGAGGAGCAAGACATTTCCATTCTTTCATGCTCAAAAGTGCTCTGTAATCATATACTCCAGCTTCACTCCGGGTTTTACATTTTGACATACTGTACTAATCATGGAGCGAGAAAACAGACAATTTGAAAAACAGGCATGCACATCAACCAGTACAATCCCAACTAATTGCATTTATTGTACAATTGATCAAGAACAGGGGGTCATATAAAAGTGAAAACTGTAAAAAGTTTTAAAATATAAATGGTTTCAATAAGCAAACAAAAAAACAAACAAAAAAACAACAACTTCAAATAGCAATAAAAAAAAACCTCTCGCTACAATCAACTCCCTGTAACATTACTGCATCGGTTTACACTTTCAGCAGGTCAAAATTAAGCTCTGTAAACCATTCCTTGACATAAACAGTTCTATAAGTCTATGAAGTCGTCACCCTTATTTCTATAACGCAATACAGATTGTTCCAAAGCAGCTTTACCGTATTAAACATGAAAAAAAAAAAAAAAACAGAATCAATGATTCAAACCATCTAATATGAGACCAATCCAAATTTTGCTATAAAGCATCTCTACAAAAGACAATAGTGTCTATTCTAGGTTGCACAGTACGGTTTATGAATTCAATTGATCAAGAACAGGGGGTCATATAAAAGATAAAATACCCTCTCGCTCTGACGAAACCAATGATCGGCTGCTGGGAAATTTGAGAGTTCAACGGACCAGGGGAATAGAGGGGGTTGGAATCAAAGGGTACGCTGGAATGGAGTGAGTTTTGTGGATGGTTGGCATAGTGAGTTCTGGGCATACTCTTCCCAAGGAAGGAACTGACTCCAGGAGGTCTGATGGTGATGGCAGGAGGTGTGAAGGAAGCGCCCATCCTCCTGGATCTTTCTCTCTGTCTGCCTATTTGATTTTGGATGGTACCTTGATGATAAACTGACAAATACACCAAGGAGTTAAAAGAAAGCGTTTCATACCCTGTACATGAACTGTGGACCACGAGCAGATACAATGTCTTCCTGGAGGCCAAATTTCTGGAAGATGGGATGGAATAGGGTCTCTGCTGCCTCGAAGGCTGTGGGTAAACCAGGGAGTGGAATGAGTTTGCAGGCCCACCCTTATTTCTATAACGCAATACAGATTGTTCCAAAGCAGCTTTACCGTATTAAACATGAAAAAAAAAAAAAAAACAGAATCAATGATTCAAACCATCTAATATGAGACCAATCCAAATTTTGCTATAAAGCATCTCTACAAAAGACAATAGTGTCTATTCTAGGTTGCACAGTACGGTTTATGAATTGTGTAATTGGTTACACAATTCATTAATATTTAAATTCTTGGTAAATCTGAGCAAAACATATTGTGAAAATTTGTTTTTGTCATTTGTCCACTTAATATTTTATTCAAGATACTCACAAAAAGTGATTAAAAAAAAACTCTAATTTAAGTAAAAGTACACAAATACATATATATTAACAAAAGTGCAACAAATTAAATGTATTTTCTCCAAAATATGTCTATACCCCTACAAATTCTTACGAAATGTACAACAAACAAACAAACAAAAAAAAAAAAACTGAAATATAAAAATCTAGCAGAAGTATATTCACATTTGTATTTTTTTTAAGTACACCTTAGTGATGAGAATAATTTAAGTGGTAAGACATGACTTTCTGTTTCAGAAAAATATCTGGTTTGTGTTCATATTTACATTTTTTTTTTCAATTATTTCACTTTGAGTAAAGGTTAATTTTTGTGAATATTTTGAATGAAAGATAAACAGCAAACACACAATTTCCCTGGACTGCCTGCTCATATTTACCAAGGGTGTGTCACATCACAATTAGGCAGGCACAGCAGAACTCAAGTGCAGGTACTTTATGAGATTTGAGACAGAAGAACAATACAGGTGAGAAAACAGGCTCTGTGGAAAGAGAAGGGTGGTCAGGTTTGAGCATTGAACGAAGGAGCTATGCGATAATGTGAGGGTAGTTTTAACTTCTAGGTGACTGGGTTATTTGCTGTAGGATTGTGAAGGGGCCAATGTAACGAGGACTTAACTTGTGGCCGGAGAGGTGAAGGCGGATGTCTTTGGTGGATGGAAGATGGGATGGAATAGGGTCTCTGCTGCCTCGAAGGCTGTGGGTAAACCAGGGAGTGGAATGAGTTTGCAGGCCTTGGAGAAATGGCCCACCACCACCAGGATGCAAGTGGACCCATCTGAAGGAGGGAGGTCTGTGACGAAGCGTACTCCCAGGTGTGACCATGGTCACTCAGGAATGGGGAGAGGGAGGAGATTTCCAGCTGGAAGTCGCAAAGGAACCTTGGCAATGGCACACTCAGTGCATCCTTGGATGAAGCACCGAACATCACATGCCATATGGGTCCACTAGTAGCAGTTCTGAGTTCGCAAGATGGTCTGGGAGATTCCAGGGTGACCAGTCCCGAGAGAAGAGTGAAGCAAGTCCAGAAGTTAGTTAGTTAACGGAGGAAGGGACATAAATGTTTTCTAGAGAGCACATAGGTGGGGCTGGTTCTGTTGAAGATGTTTTCATGATCTGGTCA